CCAGTGAAATATATTTATGTTTGTGGTTGTAATGTGACAAAATATGGAAAAGTTCAAGGGGTATGAATACTTTTGCAAACCACTGTATATTCATCCACAGAGTTGATGTGATCAGTGAAATGTTGGACTTCCTGGGCTTTTGTCGTCAACATATCTGAACCAATGGCTCGGTGGCACCCCTGAAAAGGACATCAAGGCTCTCTTTTCCAATTCCTCCATGTACATGGAGGAAGTATGAACGAAAACATATATCAATGATAGCCATGTGATGTGAGGATCAGTCACATGGAGGCAGTGCTTAAAAGCTTAAATTCTTTAAGAGCTTTTCACAGCCATAGCAGAAAGTTTCATGACATTCAACTCTTGATATCATTCGGACAATCTTTGAGGGTATTGAAGCAACAAGAATGCGTGGGGTTAAACGGAAGATCCATTTGTTTATCATCTCCATGTAAATAACTTCTTATGTTACATTAAAAGAACGGTGTGCATTCAGAAAAGAAAGGCCTGCAATAACCCACTGAAACACACCTCGAGGACATTTAGCAGATAAGGGCATTGAGTTACAAGAAATGCCTTTCAGAAAGAAAATCTGAACCTTTGTAGGGCCAAGCCCCAAGTCTAGCTTTATATAACAAATCACTTAATAAGAAAAAAGTGCTGAATGTAGTAACACACTGAAAGCACAAATAGGATGGTGAAAAAAAAAAGCTTGTACTGATACAATGATCTAATGGGTAATTTCCATTTAAGCGGCCATTTAGAACATATTGGTCCCAGAACTATTAATTAATTGCTGTTTGCATGGAACCTGGGAGCACAAAGTTGTTTAATGTTGTGTTTACGGGATTTTTACTTTCTATCAAAAAACAGGGTCCAGCCAATTAGAGCTAAGGACAGATCAAAAACATCTTCCAATCAGGAAACAACAAAAAACAGAGAGAGAAAACCAAAACCAGATGTGTTTGTTTGAATGAGTTGCAAATAGTGTTTATACCAAAACATTATTCAGACATTAGGTTTGTGTGTTTTTTTAAGTTAAGGTTTTTTTTTCCCTTCTAAAAAAAGGGGGATCGGTAAAGCTTCATGCCAAGTGTGACATAAGTGAGAACAGCATCAAACCAAAAGTTATTTTTAAGCCAAAATTAGAATAAAACCCCATCAAATAAGGATGACCTTGTTTCCCTAAGGGCTTCCACTCTGGAGGTCTTGGGCAACTGCTGGAACTTGAGCGACCACAGAAACCACAAACAGCACAACAGTCCACCCAAAAGTATAATCTTTTTTTTTTCTAAACATAATTTAGATTATAGATATTTCAGGAGATTGATTTAAAAACTGAATAAATCGTGTCAGAGGCTAAGTTCTCATCAGGACTCTTTATACCAAGTTTAAAGCGGCAACACATTTGCAGGGTTTCCATTTCTTGATACCCTAATTTCTTCCAAAAATCTCTGTTAAACCAGAGCAGAAGGTGCATTTTAATCCAACAAGATTATCTGTTTGGTTTCCACATCACTCGACATCCTACTGTCCACGTGTCCCCAGAAAAGTTGCTTCTCAAGCTCCATGCATATACTTGCAGTTGCGCTACGTTAGTTAAAACCAATAAAAACATTCCATTTTTTTTATCCGTTTGGGACATTACAGAACATCATGCTCAGATGTTCCAGAGCACGTCTACAAGAAATTCTTTGCACAACTTGCTTTACCAATGAAAATACTCTGGAACATATTGACTTTGGAGAGCAAGTAAAAAAAAAACTCAAATAAAACATGAAGATGATCATTTAGTTGTTAAACAAAGAAATAAAATATATTTTTTTTCATTATTGTTTTAATTTTGCTTAATAAGTCAGCCAGCTTGACAATAAACAGCTGAGGAAAACCAGCTGTTCATACAGATTTGCATATTTACACTGTTTTGGGATGACTCCTTTGAGTCCTACTCCCCTCTATAAAGAAAAGTTTATTTTTGGTCCATCTCATTCCCATGTATACAGTAACATATACCTCATCAAGAAATTATTCTGTACTTGTCTTTGCAGTGTTATTTTCTAACGTCTACTTCAGAATGCCATTGTTTCAGTTTCTCAGCTACCCTTTCATGTTTCAGCTAAACAGTGATATTTAAAATTTGAATGGTTTTTATTGTATTTCAGCCACATTGAGTTACAAGCCTCAGTGGTAAGGTTTCTTCAGAGTGCTGAAAAAAAGTCTGATTAATAATCAAACCTCAAATTCAGGAGAACATTTTGCTCTTGTTGTGTTTGTATTTGCTTGTATTTGTTATCTTTTTAGGACTGTTTCTGGTATACACACCTACCTTGTCAAAACTGGTAGACCTTATGGGGACCAAAGACCGGTCCTAATATAGTCAAAGTTCATTTTTGGGTCAGGGGTTAGGTTTAGGACTAAGGTGTGAATTAAGTTTAAGTTAGGTTTAGGATAAAAGGTCAGGGTTAGCTTAAGAAACTACTGGAGAATGAAGTCAAGGAACGGTCCTAACAAGGATAGAAATACAAACTGTTGTGTGTGTGTTCATGTTTTTGCTACCTGGTGGGGACGATTTTGACCATTTTTCTGGTACACATAGCCTGGTGAGGACCCATTAGCCGTGTTTCCATCCAATTTTAATTCGAATTTTGAGCAAATTTTAAAAAATTCACAAAAAGGAAAAAAAATGAAGAAATCCATCAGCTGGATTGAAGCAAATCAATTACGTCAGACGCATGCGTGTAGTAAACAGGAAGTAAAAGTTGCGTCTCAGGACAATGGAGAGAAGTTATCAGGAACGTTTTATTGTCTTTTTTTATTTTATGAATGTATGCACGTTTTATTATGTGTACAGCACTTTGGTCCTGTGGGTGTTTAAAGTGCTCTATAAATAAAGATGGTATGGTATGATATGGTAACGTGTTGCTACTATCGGGAAAGTTCTGTCATCAACTAGTTTTGGTGATTTTATATGYTGTCTGGAGATGTAGAGAAAGAAATGCAATTCTCTTCACGTTACGGGAATAACAGAAGACGCCGACAGCGGGAGGAAGGTCCAGCTGCAGTCACTTTGTTACCGGTTTCGGACAGACAGCAAGAACAGCTAATCAACCTTGTGAGGTAAATGTTCGCTACGTCAGAAATGATTCAACAAATGTGTTTCCATCTCTCCTTTTGCGTATGAAGTATTTAAAAAAAAAAAAACACTTAAGCGAGCGTACCAACTTTTATGCGAATTAGAGGAAGTTTTTTTCGAATCATGCAGTTTCCATCCACCTTTTCTGATGTGATACTTCAAAATGCGCATTAAAAAATGCTGATGGAAACACGGCTACTGTTCCTTAAGGGGACAAAAGCCTGGTCCCCACTGGGGGAAATACCGTTGGTGGGCTCAAATCTGTCTGACTTTAACCATCCAACCTGTRTGATCTCATTATCATCCACACTTCAGTTAGAGCACTTCGGTCATCCAACCAGTTTCTCTTAGATGTTCCTCGATCTAGACTAAAGTTTAGAGGGTTCAGTTTCTACCCCAAACCTTTGGAATGGTTTAGCTCTTAGCATTCGGTGTGCAGAGACTGTTGAGACTTTTAAATCTCTGCTTAAAACTCTTTTTTACTCCCTGGCCTTTCATTCTGGTAGAGTTTGAGATTCATTAAAAGCTAATGTTTTTAATGTTCTTTTTCTCTATTTTAAATTGATCTTGTTTACATTTCTGTGTTGCTCTGTTGTTTTATTCATGGCTGAATTGTGAAGCACTTTGATCAACTTTTGTTGTTTTTATGTGCTATATAAATAAAMTGACATTGGCATTTGCTCTAAATGTTACCATTAATCATTATATCTGTGATGAACAACATAAAGGTAGTGTGAAGATGGTAAATGTTAAAAAAATTAAATAGTCTAAATATATTTTGGGAGAATCTTTAGCCATGCTTAGTATGTTCCTCCATTGTACTTATGTATACTATTTCTAGTACTTACCATTATTAGGACTTAATAAAAAGTATATCTTAGTGTCTCTACACAAACATGCTGAATATCTGTCGAATGAATGTGTTAGTGTGTTTGTATATATCTACACTTCTGAGAGTTGTGTGTTAATCCTGAGTGAAAAGCGCTGTTTTTCGCTAAGGAAAGCAGCGGGGGAAGTCCCCAGAGGGCTTCTGTGCGGTGGCCCTGTAAGCCTGTGTGAATAAGCCTGAATTCGCAGGCTCCCCACGAGGACGCACGGCCAATTAAGCTGACAGTCAGAAGCCCATTGACCAGTCACAGAGATTAAACGCCGGGCCATCTCATGGCTAAAACCACCTGCAAGGATGGAGGGAGTGATGGAAAGCGAGAGGAGGAGGAGGAGGAAATGGTAATAGACACAGAGAGACGTGCCGATACTCACTGTTACTTGTTGCTTCGGTAAAAGGCACCTTTTGTCCATTCCAGCCTTTGTTGTCTATCTGTAGCGATGCAGAAAGAGGGAGAGAAGAGGGAAGTAAGAGAGATGTCGATTCTTGAGCAGGCAGCTTCTTCACGCATGTCAGACAAGTTCCTTCCTACTGTTTGGTCCACAAAGAGACAAGCACTGACAAGATGAGATGCCGAAGAAGACTACTGCCTCTCGCAGCCAGCTACTCAATTAGAGGCTGTTGTCAATGTTTAGTAACCTAAAAAGCTTGTTTTCAATGTGTTAATTCTTCTGTGATGAGTGTTTCTGCCTGCACAAACACTCATAAAAAAAGCTTGTGTGAAACAGAAACAAACCTATGGCTGTGAACAAATGCTTCCCAGTTTCTAAACACCCTAATCTGATCCTTAGGCCCAGTTTACGTGGAGCTATTTTTAAAGGAAACCATAGCATTTCTCCTGTTTGGTTTGTGTACACAACAACAGTGCTCGTTTTCTCTGACACTAAAGTTTTTTTGAATCCAGGTCTCCGAGTGGAGGTTTTTGGAAACACCTGACAGAGGTGTGAAATTGAGCAAGTAGATGAACAATAGTAACAATGGCGGATAGGAGAGTGCTGCTCACTCTTCAACATGTAGGAACAACCCAACCTCATCCTCGGTCCAAACGGACGCTTGTGTACTCATCATTATAGATGCAACTGATTTAATGTTTTCATGTTTTCATGCACAGCGCCGGCTGACATGACCTGACCAGTGGTGGACAGTAATGGAGTACATTTACTTGAGTACTGTACTTAAGTACATTTTTTGAGTATCTTGACTTGAGTAATTATTTTTTGGGGTACTTATGACTTTCACTCCACTACTTTTCCAAGACAAACATTGTACTTTTTACTCCATTACATTTCTAGGAAACTTTTAGTTACTTGTCACTTTTGGTTCAGCATAGCTTTGTAATCAGCTGTTGCCATCTTTTCTTTCTTGAAATGCCACTCTATGTTCCTCACAAGGGGAACCAGTCACAGTTGTAGCTCACATCTAGGATAGATTTGGAATTACATCATCTTCATTAACGGTCACGAGCTGAGCTCCACCTTCATTTCAAACAGAACCCAGCAATGGAGACGGTTGAAGAGAGTAGAGAAACCAGCGCACCCATGACCAGATCTCAGCTCCATGTTTGAGATTTTAGGACTGAAAAATAGTTCCTATCAGTTTAAATGTTTTGTGTTTTCACCGCGGATAAATTTCATTTCCGCATTTAAGAACTCACTACTCCCTTTATTATATTTTTATGCTGAAGTCTTTACAGGTGTAGAATTTGTAGCAGAGTGGATCTACAAGTCAATACATCAGGTGGTTTCTGAGAGTTACAAGGTTCTTTAAATTCACTCTGAAAACAATACAGCAATGTACAATGGGACATTTTCATKTGTACTTTTGAATACTTGAGTATTTTTAAATGCATGTACTTTTGAATACTCAAAAGTAAGTACTTCAGTACTTTAACTTGAGTWGATTTTTGACCGATTAACKTACTTGTAGTTGAGTMGATTTGACCATGRGTATCAATACCTTTACTCAAGTACTAGAGTTGAGTACTTTGTCCTGACATGGAAACTATCGCAGATTTACAGAGCATGTGTATATGGGTTTTATTTTTCGAACAAGAATCAACACAGAAAAAAACACCAACGTTCCCAGAGATTGTGCGCATTTAAGCAGGACCTTGGTGGGAAGGCGTCGTAAATTAATTCTCAGGAAAAAAAAATAAGACAGGAAGGACATGGAGCGCGATGGAAAGTGATCCTTAAAAAGACTAATTCTTCAACAACAGCTTTGGAGTTCAGGATCATCCGCAAATTAAAAGGAAAGTAGGGCACCCGAAAAATTCCTAAGAAGAAATTTCACAGACTTAAAGCCATTTATCAGCCTCTAATTCAATTTAGTCCAAATATTCTGCTTAAAACTCATAAACAGAACACTAGAAACACATGTAAATGTTGTCAGGACTGTTTATATTGGAGATCAAAGGAAAGGGAATCACTAAAACTGAGTTGGGGTTTCTTAAACAATCAGTCACAACATTATGACCACCATCCAAATATGGAACAGGATCTAGAACTAAGATTTACTCTTTTAACAAAGTTGGTGTTTTGGTAGCTTTTCTTTTAAACTGGAAAACACCCTAATCCTTCACTCCGTATCAATGAATCACAATCCCGTTTCTGGTTCCCTCAGTTTTCCACAGACCATTTTTGGCAAAACTTGACTACTAAAAACCAGCAAGATGTAGAAATAGTGTGACACAGCTACTTAAAAATCAGAATTTGGYCCGAGTCATAGTTTTAAAATCTTAATCATACTTATTGTCTGTTGTCTTTAGTCTCTCTTCTCTGCATGTATATTACCGTATATTATAGTAATTATTTCTATCAATAACATGTTTTTTCTTTGTCTCTTTTCCAGAAGAAGGTGCACCTGGACCAGTCCTGGACCAGTCCTTCTGTGTTTACCTGTGTCTCTTTCCTGTCCCCCAACCAGTCGGTTGAGGCAGATGGTCGCCTGTCCTGAGCCTGGTTCTGCTGGAGGTTTCTTCCTGATTAGCAGGGAGTTTTTCCCTCTCCACCATTTGCTCAGGATGGGAGACTGTGATGAAGTGATTCAACACAATCTGCTGGTTTCTTCTTTAGATTTTTCTTTTTTCATGTACAGTGCCCTGAGGCAACATATGCTGTGAATTGGCGCTGTGTAAATAAACTGAAATGAATTGAATTAATCCTTCACGTAGTTATTAACAGTCAGTGGCGGCTGATCAATAGGGGGCGCAGGACACCTTCAGAGACTGTGGCTCTGCTGAAGATTCTCGTCATCATCACATCTCCTCTGACCACAGCTGAATCTGAGAGGAGCTTCTCAACACTGAAGAGAATCCAGACTTTCCTCAGGTACAACATCACATCTCACTGCACTGACCATGATCCAGAGTCATGAAGAGATTTGCTTCTCAGTTACAGAAGAGCAAAATTTATATACATAAAATAAAATAAARCACTACATGACATTGTAATTCTGTTTTATTATTTTCATTTATTTAATAAATACACTGCCATTAAACAACTTAGTGATTATTTTTTGAGATATGTCTATTTTGGAGTTGTAGCACCCCCAGGAGAAAAATCCACCAGCCGCCACTGTTAACAGTACTGCTGGTTGTTGTAAGGCTTACAATGTTTTGCCATTTTATGGTGATGTGGTCTGGTTGCCTAAAAATATGTACAAATGCAGCACCTGRTTATTAATGGTCTGTCTGAAGAATTAATGATATTTAGCAACAAAAAAAAAAGTGGTTATGTAATACAATCTTTTTCTGGTTCTGCTCCACTGAGCTTAAATCCAATGAGGTGTATAAAAATGATGGTGATCAATGGTTGCTTGCAAATCACACTCCGTTCAGGGGAGCTGGAGGAGTTATATAACAGGTCAGCAGCACTGAGRCAAGTGAGAAACCTGGGAGTAAACTCGCTGTCAGTTTATCTGCAMACGTCTGAAGAGATAAAAACAGCTGTTCTTTATTTACAGACGTTTCATTTTGGTTAAAATTTCTGCTTTCTTTAAACAAATTTTGCTAATTGGAGTCCCTGAGAAAACCCCAAACAGCCTTGCATCAATGTTTATTGTAGAGCAGTGAAAATCAAACCAAAATCATAATCRTTTCTCAGCAAAACAATGGCAGCTTTCAATTTCTTAGAAATAAAAGCTACATATAATAACAGACTGGGTGGTTTGTATATAAAACRAGTACACAAGCTGGCATAAGCAATAGTTTCAGTACCTCTGAGGGGGTCTGAGGGACTGTGGAGGCCTTGTATCCCAGCTGAAGCAGCATGGCCTCGGCGGCGTTTCGCTTGGCCACCTTCTTGTTGGGTCCCGTTCCGGTGGCAACCTCGTTATTCACCTTCACCTGCGTCAGCAAGCAAAAGAGAGAGACAAAATCAGAATGTTGAGGCTGCACGGTTACATTCTGTTCAGGTGTTAATGACCAACTTGGTGACTTTCTTCTAGCTTCTWTGCTTCCGTTCACTTTCAGCTGAGAACAATCACTCTCCGAGCCAAGTCAGCCATGCAACGTGAAGTGTTTGTTTTTCAGTAATCCCAAAGCATTAAATCTGTCTATACAGAATGTAAGCAGAAATTTCCAAGAGAATATCAGACGTCGTTGTGTTATGCAAACAGACAATTACACTGTACAAATAACATTCTGGAAGCCAAAGCCTGTGAACAACCGTGGTTCGGCGCACTTATTCAAAGTGGCCTCACAAGCTCAAGCACTACTCTGGATGCATGAAGTRAGCAACAACACAGCGAGGATAAACAGCTAAATGAATAACCGCAATGGTCAACAGAATAACTCTTTTATTAGGTATTAAAAATTAATCAGCTCCTCAAAGGCATACAATAAAAAGTGGAGTTTGCTTCTCAAATGAAAAGACGTGAAAACAGAGGCTCATTTGAGCTCTGCTGCCTACAAGAGGAAACAATGTGGAAATTTTAGAAGAGTGAGTGGACTGCACAAAAGAACACACACACACTCACGGGGGCCTAATGTGTGTATCAAAGAGGCATGGAGAATAGGTTTGRGGCTGAATTACTGCCTGATGCTGAGAGAAGCTCTGTTCTTCGTTTGAAAGAAGAGGATTATGGAAGAAAAGACAAAGAAGGGAGAGTTTGACTGAGAGACAGAGAGAAAGATAAATGGGAGCAAAGATAGTCAGTAAAACAAAAACGCAGTTGAAATGTCATGCGTTAATAAAAATGGACAAATACCATTCAAGCAAGCTATCYAAGACATAAGCTTCTCAATAAAGATGTCTTGTGTAGATTAACACACAGCATCTTTATGAAGCACTCATCTGCCAACAGCAGGTAAACTGAGAAAACATCACTTACTTTTACCACTATTAAAACGAGTACAGTTCCATAGTCTCTTAAACCAGTTATAAAGTCATAGTTAAAACTTAACACTACATGYTCAAATATGAAGACTATTAGTCTACAACTAGTTTCTCCAAATAAAAACAGCTGTAATTGCAAATATTATACTTAACTATTTGTTTACTCTGCCACAAGAGCAGGATAAATGMATGACCCTAATTCAATTCTTCTCTTGATCCAAACCATACCAAATTTTGGCAGGTTTTAATGCATGAATGTGCAGTCTAAAACGCAAACTGGACTATTAGGCAAGTTTGCATTAACTTGCAAACACAGCATGTTTTTATATACTAATAAACATAAAATTCTGAATAATCAAACCTGTCCTACAAAGAACCCTGTTCTTTTCATTAGATTAACAAAAAACAGCAACCCGAGCATTTTAGTTTCTTATGAGTAATGTCCCCTTACAATACAACCATATTAGAACACATACTGTAAGCTGTCTTTACTAGCAMCAACAGACGAACTGAAATATAATAGTATAAAACAGTTGGCTTATACACTGAGGATAAACAGGAGCGTAAAGATGAATGTTCATCTGCCCTGAGGTCTAAATGCAGCAATAAAAATACACAATAAACAAAACTTTTTAAAAGAGCCTGTGGAAAAAAGAGAAGGGATTAGTTCCAAAGAAAGATGAGTCAGCTATGAAGGGAGACAAAAATATGGGAATATAGTTTTTCAAAATCCATATAAGACATGTATCAGAAGACATTTGTGTTGATTTTGTGTTTTTTTTGTGGTATAGAATTAACAAATTTYAAACAAACCAAGATTGAACTGATTGTACTCTTTTCTGTTTTACCTCCTTCCACACTAAATTACCTAATAAAATACACAAAAAGGAGGAATAGGCAAGTTACTAAACATAAATTTTCAGTGTTTGTTAWACACATTGGCCACCAGACAACACTGCTCCAAACTATTTTCATTTAATGATTTAATAAATTTACATTTTGATTTAAGATAATGCTCTTGCAAACAAATAACGCTGCCAAGTTCGGAAAAAGGMAACCAGACTCCTTTTCGAATTGTTTAATTTCAGGGAGTATTGAGAGCAAGTAGGTAAAAGTTTGCAGTCAAACTGACCCTAACCTATTATCATTGGACCGGGACATCCTGACCATCTGGATAAGATGTACCAATGATTAGTGTAAACACTAAAGGGCGTCTAGACACAGAGACCATGAGATTCATCATATGTGTGCTTTTAAAAGCAGCCTGACATTGTATTTTGTCAAGCGTGTACATTATTCATTTTACCTATGTTTGCTTTCAGACTTTGTTTAATAAAATCTATAAATCACACAAAAATTATTGCGGCCCATGCCCATGTGGGCTGCAAAAATGGCCATGAACTGAGATGGCTTAGTCCAGTGT